TGATCAAATCAAGACATTGTGGAAGTATCAGAGGTGGAAAGATCTGAGCGGTGGCCAAGGCGTACGATGTTATGATGCCCTCGCAGTCATCAGTGAACACACGCGAACAAACATCCCCATCCCCAGTAGGCGAAATGCATGCAGAAATCATGTGAAACCATCTATGCCATGCTTGATGTTTATCTAACAAGTGGATTTAGCTAATTACGAGCATGGGGGGGGGGCGGGGGAGGCGGAAAGAGAGAGAGAGAGAGAGAGAGAGAGACGCGGGTAAGAGGGATGGGAAGGAACTGAATGGCTGCAGCAGGTGCAGAGGAGGGAACCAAACTTTCATGCAGCAAGCAAAAAGTAAGAATCAGGACCATCTTTTCCCTCGTTCTGCTCTTCTTCTCTTCTTTCTCATGTCAACGTTCCGCGTCACCCCACCTGCTCATCCTCCCTTTCTCCCTTCTCCTCTTCTCCCCGTCCCCTCCTCTTCTGCGCTGCATCGCTCCGCCCCTGCTGACTTTCCGCAGGTCTCGACTCCTCCCGCAGGACTCTCGACTCCCACCTCGTCCTCCTCCCTCCTACTTGCAGCAGCGGCTGAGCGACATCCTAGAGGGCAGGCAGAGTATGGAGCCTCTCGTCGTACCCAACATCCCAGTCCCTCTAAATTCCTGATTCTTCTCAACTTCTCCTCCTGTCCCTCCCCCTTCCTGCTGCCCCCTCCTATCTTCCCCTGTTCCTCCTCCTCCTCCCTTTCACCCTCCTCCCTCCCTCCTCGCTGCCTCATTCCACCCGTCCTGTCTTTCCCGCCTCACGTCGTTCAATTGTTTCTCTTTCCCTTCCGCTTGTCGCTGCTCATCAATTAATATTCCTTGTCTTGGCATCGAGCGAGAGATGTCAAGGTCATGTCATGTTATGAGTACAATCTTAAAGAATATCGACAAACAGAGAGAAAACAGGACAGGATAAAAGCGATCCCGTTTCCTCCTCCTCCTCCTCCTCCTCCTCCTCCTCCTCCTCCTCCTCCTTCATTGTTCCTACTCTATGCTCCCAAGAAGTTCAGACGGGCCTCCACCATTTGGCTCGACATCCTTCCAACCTCGTCAGCAGCAGCAGCAGAGAACGCCGATGAGCACAAAAGGAGCTCGAGGAGATGGAGAGACTTGTTCGGGAGAGAGGAGAAATGCCA